GAGATCGAATCTGACCTAAAACAGTGCTTACCCATGTGAACATTTTCTTATATTGGATAAACTGGCATAGCCTGGATGTTGAGGTTTGCTCTTGACAAAATGCAGGTCAATTTAATTTGCAAATAAGCATCACCCTCGCTAATTGATGATTTTTGTTAAATAGAACAAAGTGGTATTTCATGCTCTACTCAATTCGGAAGCTACTTAATTCGACACGTTCTGAGAGTTTAAGTGTGCAATCGTCATAGTTCCACCATTCGTTCCAGTAAAAAAAGGCGATAATAAAAACACATAAAAAACGCGATAATAAACTTCTATATATTTGAGAAGTTATATATGCGTGAGGAACACATATAGTTATTTCAATTAGCTTCAAAATAAAAAAAAAACATTATTTAAAGCTTTTCAAAATCACCTATAACGTGTCTATAGAGGATAAAAGCGCCGAAAAATATTTGCAGAACATCTTTCAGATAATTTAAAGGCGCATTTCCTCATATATCTTTGAGGTGAGGATCTTATATTTATGCTGCCAAATCTTCAGACAGGAATTAAGTATATTTTTATTATCATTCATAAATTTGACTTTATGAAGTTCACATAACCGCCTGAGACAGACACGGAAGGACGATACTCGAAAATACGCCAGCTGTTGTGTCTTCGGCAACGTGCTTTTGTCAGCTGTTTTGCAGTGTAAAAGAGTGGGTTGCAGGGTATGCCAAAAAACACTGTGGTCACATGATATATCGGAAGGCAAATACACGAAATGTGCAGAAATAAGGAGATGTCACGCAATTTTTTCTAAATAATCCCTTACACAACGCTTTACTGCAAAAAGAAATGCACAGAAATGCATAAAATGATATTCCTAATTAAACATAGATTCCGCGCAGGGCAAACGAAGATTTTTTAGAATCCTAATATAAATCACTTTTGGACATCAGCTTGCCTCAGCTCAAAACGTCGCGAGATACTGCCTCGGGAGGCTACTGTTATCTTAGGTTTTACGTGCACTTGTTTTGAGACCTTACTTCACGACTCTGTTCTTTATCAGTCATGTGCTCCAACACTTCATTAGGCTGCCGTATATCATCGCGAGACTGCTATAAATACTACACAACTTTACACATTGGACGTCTACTGCTGGTGTTGAGAACGTCGCACTTCACCAGAAAGCTGAAGTATTTAACATGGTTTGCACGTGACGTAATCGCACTAGATACTGGTTGTCATTGCGAGTTGTTCTTGCTGAGAAAATCAAATCCGGTTAGGCAAAATGCACGCTGCAAATGTTTCGCGCTCAGTGCAAGCTATGTATTTGAGAGGCACACATTTTTCTTGTTGGCACATCGTCGTTAGGCACGGCGCGAGTATCTGGCACGACGAAAACGTGCTTTCTGGCAAGAGTATTTTTACAAATAAAAGTTGTACCAACTACTGTCACTATCGTTTCCAGGCCACGCTTTCTAGTCTGCGCCGCAAATGTGGGGCAGAGGAATCTTTACGACACAGTATGCTTTAAAACTACCCCCCTCCCCACTCCCTTTTTTGTTTAGCTCCTCAAGATACTTTTCATTCCTCAGGGATTGCCTGCTCCGTATTGAGTGGTGTTCACTCGACAATTATATTTGTGTCACTTGTTAACAGTAATTCTTCCTTGCTTTAACTTTGCACCAAACTGTGAAGGTTAAACAAAATACAGGGCGGTCGAAACTTGGAGAACTTGAGAACGACACTCCTGTGAGACCTAGAGCGGCTGCCAACGTTCGGCTATCCCCGTGAGGCCACTAGGATCTTTCTTTTCAGGTATCCCACCCGTACACACTAATAGTTCCATGTAACGTCGGACTAATACGTCACATTTAGACCCTTTAACACTTCTATTCTCGGGACAACTTTCTGAGGCAGTTCAGCAATAACGAAAGCATGTTTGGGAGCCTCAATGGTGTGCATACATGTAAAATGGGTCGTGCAGCATTTTTTTTCCCTTAAGTTCAATAAATACCGCTAACTTGTAATCCCTGACGTTGATAACTTGCAAAAGCATCCATTAGTTTGCCCCTCCGCGAAATGGCAGACAGTCGAAAGAAAGAAATGAAACAGCTTTCCCCTCCTCAACTCACAATTAGAACTATCAGCCACGTGATCTGATCCTAATATATACACCGTCAGTGTTTATCATAGTCATACGCAGGGTTGGCAAAGCAGAGAGCATGGGCTGATCTTCAGATATAATCTTAGTTGGGCTATAATGCCCGAGCCCCACTAAAGCGACAAACAGAAACAAACGACAGCGGCTAGCCTTAAACCAGAGTATTTCGCGATTTGACAGGCTTTGTAGAATAAAGAAGGCTATGCTCAAACACGAGTATCATGCACACGATGGTACCATTTGCAGGCTTGTAAACACTCGTGCTAACTTCGCGAGCACCGAACAGCTCAAAGCCGTATAAAGGTACCATCGCGAACATGCTGCATCTGTCTGAGGCTTGTCGCTTTCGTTGGTTTCTGTTTCTAGCTCTAGTGGGACTCGGGCCCATCATAATCTTTGAGTTGAACACGAGCCGTTACCCGTATGTTTGGCGATACTGGTTGTCATGAACCAGAGCATTCGACTCGGGATCATGACAATCGGGTACATCATGGTGTCACGTGGCTCTCAGCGCGAAGTTGTGATGTCATGTGACGTCACGGTATGAACAACGTTAATAGATCTAGCGACGTCCTCAATTCGAATCGACTTAACGCGGTGAGTCACGTGACGTCACGGGGTCACGTGATGTGACGTTACTTGACAGCATGTCTTGACATCATGACGTCACGTGACAATGTGACACATGGCTAATCATAGTGCCAATAAGAAAGCGCCGCAAAAAACTAGGATTTATTATACATTGCAGTTCTGTATGTGACGATTTGATCAATACGTAGAGGAATACACGTGCCAATTTTTTATTCCCAAATAATAAATTTGTAATATTAACAAAAAAAAAATACCGTGAACCGTTTTGAACCGGTTACCGTTATATTTTTTTCCGGTTCCGTTCCGGTTCAGTTCCAAGATGGCGGTGAAGATTTCGGTTCGGTTCAGTTCCGGTTCGGCTAAAAATAACGGTTCTGTTCCGGTTTTCGGTTCGGTTCGGTTCCGGTTCGACACCCTGTGCGACACCACGTAGATTCCCTTGAGCGATGGCTAAAAGAGTGGGGTCTTCCCATCTTGCAAGGCGTTGAGTACGTTCAAGCTCTTCAATCCAGTGCTTCAATGTAGGAGTGCCGCTTCCGTTGAAAGTGGGCAGCGAAGCTGATAGATCTGGCAGAGTTGTCACGTGCACTTGGTTCGCTTGATTGGCTAGCGTCGTCATCATTATAGCCATGTTCTGGTGAAGGAATGCGGCCATGCGCTGCATGTTCTCAGCTTCGTCTGTGGTAAACGCTGGCATAGTCGGGAATAGCGTTGCAGGAGCTAGTGCATTTGGCGGGTTTTGGGTGGCATCAGTAAAAAGCCTGTCAATAAGCTCTTCCTTGTTTCCGATTGTGCTAAGGTTTCGGCGTTGAAGTTCTATTTTGAGAAACTGAACGCTCAGGGTCGCGAGATCTTCGGATGTAGCGTTACTCCAGTTGATAAGTGGCATCGTTGTTCTGGGCGGGCGATGTGCAAAGGGGAGGCGGTAGGCTTAAAAATGGCTTCGCGTTCGGCTACGCGGATGAAAGCGGGCAGGCAGGCTTAGGTGGCGAAGGCAGGTTGAGGGCGTCGACTGCGCCATATGTGAGACTTTGGGAATAAGAAAAATGTTTAATGAATGAAAATAAAGTAAATAATGGAGGGATGGCTGAGTGAAGGCTGATGGCTGGTCATGGCTGGCTGGCGTTCTTCTACTTCTTCGTCTTTACCTGTCTCTGAGGCCATATGAGGCAAGTTCGGCGCTGTGGGCAGGCACGCTGCTCACAATATACAAGAATCTTCAAGAATATAAGAATCTTGTGTGTCTTGTGCATATTCATCACATCACAAACAGTGCTTCTCTGAAAGAACTTCACTTCCTCAGGAATCAGGATTCGCACATCTCACTACACTCTAAAGCGTGTTTCACATGCAGCGATTTTGGCCCTAAAGCGGCGCGATTCTTGCCGTCGCGGCGCTCGTGCCGCTCAATTGCTGGTGCTGGCCAGAACGCCGCGACGGCAGAAATCGCGCCGCTCTAGGGCCAAAACCGCTGCATGTGAACTAGGCTTAAGAAATGCCTGCGTGTCTACTTACCCTCAAAACACTCGAAGAGCCAATCTCTGCGATCTACGAAATCAGCTCAGCGAATGATAAGGCGGAACCTCTGTTTATACCTAAAAATGAAATCTGCGCTGTGGGATTACGCAGTGCAAAGCGTCATGCTTGCATTGCGTAACGCCACAGCGCAGGTTTAAACGGATGTTGAGCCTCATTTTTCACTGATCTAATTTTGTAGATCTCAGAGATTGGCTCTTTGAGTAATCTGCGGGTAAGTAGACGCGCAGGCAATTCTTAGATTGTAGATATGCGAAACCCGAAGAAACAAGCTCTTTCCCCGAAGCTCCTTTTGTGACAGTTTGTATAGGGAGTATTCACTGGCGGCCATATATGTGTGCGCGGCTGCTGAGCGAGTGCTGACGGCAAGCTTCCGCAGTTTTTTTGGAGCGTGCATTTAGCACCATCAAGGTTGCCGCTCTTAGCAGGCTATTAATGTGAGCTCGTTCTGGGCATGCGCTCTAAACATCGCCCTTCAATATGGCGTCCAGTGAATACCTCCTATATTTATATATCTCTAATCAATATGAAGATCACACTATAACGACAAGAACTTATACCCGAACTCCGTATTGATGGAAGGTCGAGGACTCGTCAAGCCGCATCGCAACGTTTTTCATCATTCTTCTTTCGTCATACACTTGAAAGGAAATAAACATGAATTATTTTATTTCTTTATTAAGTGAGGTGATGGTTCCGATAATTTCTCCGAACATCCCAGGTTTGGTTTCCTCGAGATCTATACCAACGAGGTGTTCCCCGATGAGTACCAGGCGTACGCCGCCGGTTTCCTGGAAGCCTACTTCACCAAAGACCTGATCGCCAAGCACTTCAGCAACCAGTGGAGCGACTACTGCGACAAGGAGGTCGAGTACTGCAAGCGACTGTACGACTTTCTCAGCGCCAACCTTGACTTTATGAACGAGCAGGCGGCAGAGTACCGCAAAACGGACCCCTACTGGCACCAGGTAAGCGAAACGTTATAGAAGAAAAATTGACAGCATACTTTCTCCCCAAAGTTCTAAAATAAATAAAATACAGTATTTTAGGGAGATATTGTTTAATTTTGTTTAGAAGGGTGTTACAGTCGTTTCGAAAAGTGAACAAGAATAACTATATTTTTATTAATTTCCCCGCTAAATTTATCAGTAAAACTGTCTTGATACAGTTCACGAGACGTCCATTTCCAGCTAAATATAGGAAACTAAATTAGTGTATATGCTCTCGTGACGTCAGGTTACGGGCATCAATTCTCCCATTAAATGTAGCGGAGAAACTGAATTGAGGTTTTAGATGAGAAGAAGCGTATTGGTGAATTAGATACGAATTCATGAATGGATAAACAGCAGAGGGCAAGACACTGTTTCCGTCCCCGTCTTTTACATCTTTTTATCCTTTCATGTATATCGTATTCAGTTGATGTACAGGTTTCGTCACGTGACATCGATTTTCCCGCCAAATTAAGCAGCTAAACTTAATTGGTCCTTAGGTCATGTGACAGAAATTTCCATTTAGCGGGAAATACATTTCATGTTGCCAAAAAGGGCGGCGTGGCCCCGTCAGGCACTTCAAAGTGCCTTTAGCCATGTCCCCCGAGACATTCTGTAAGTTCTGTCTCAAATAAACTTATACAAACAAACAAAACAAAAATGCTTTAAAAAAGAATCGAATCTGTCCTGATCATTGGGATAAACCGTGCTTTTTGATTTGTTCTGGTTGTTTACGGAAAGCTTTTGCGTGCTTTCGGATGCGTTGCACGCACGACACGCTCTTGTGCTTCCCGTTTTCTTCATAATGATCAGGCCAAGTTTGAATGTAGTATTCAGAAGCGGGGCTGCTTGCGCTCCCGCTCGTTTCCTTCTCGTGGCGGAGGGCAGAGGATTCGGACTGCGGATAGCGCAGTGCCATTCCCGCTGCCCCCTTGGTAAACCTCGCTAATTACAATTACTTAGGCTTAAGTATGATTACGTCGAACAGCGTGCTAAAATCATGCGTGCTTCGAGTGCGTGCCCAGCCCCCACTGTGGGAAACGCGGATAATTGAGGCTGAATTTACTAGACGGCGCCCGGTTTTGATGAGGGTTTAGTAAACGCTTTTAATTGAAACTAAAATCCCAGACACGGTCGTTTAATCAATGAGGGCATGCTTTCTGAGGGTGCCCGTCCGGTCAGACAGGCGCAAGCAACAAGGAAGGATCACTATTAATATTGCATGCGCATTTCCCACTGCTATTAGGATTTGTCTGTTTATAAAAGATTTTGATAACAATCTTGGGCTAAGCACCGTATTCATTTGTTTCACAAGAAAAACAATTAAACGCTATTTCTGTAAAGCCTTTTTTTTTCGCAGCCTCAATTCTTCGCGAATTGGTCACAGAGGACATAGTCGCGGCCACCAAATTTCGCGAATTCCAGACGTCTGTCTGCGTTAAAACCCTTAAAGGGTTATTGAACCGAAATTTTTTATATTTCGCGAAATAAGATCGTATAAGCGTTGAACGGGACCTTATGAACTCAAAAACATCACTCATACATCGATGTCTCAAACGGATGGCCGTACTTTTGGAAAAGAAGGACGCGATCAAGCGAGATCTTTGACGTCATTGTCCTCCTGGAAAATTTGAGAATGAGGGAAAGCGGCCTCGCTTCTCTAGTCCTCGCTTCGGCGACGGGACGTAGCAAGGAAGAGGGGGAATGGCAATCGTGATGTGACTTGCGTCTCGTCGGCCGTGTTCAATCGCGCAATATTTTTTTTTTTTTTTGAATATACGGCGTTCCGTTAGAGATATCGCTCTATGAGTGATGTTTGGGTTTTGCAGCGTCCCGCCTATCCGTTCAGCCTTGTTTTGTAAGCCCTTAAATTTCGCAAATTTTTCAATTCACGAATTTCGCGAAAATTAAGGACTTGGGAACATCCAGGGTTTTACAATATATTTAGCGAAAACAAAAATGCAGATTTAATAGGGCGAATGTTTTCAGTATATAGGTTGTATATAACTAAGAAAAACCTTACCGAATGTGAGGAGGCCATGTCACTGTCTGTATTTGAGTGTCTTTAGAATCACGGCGTGCTTTGTTTCAAGACTGCACATGTCCGGAAAATCGAAACCTTCTTGAAAGAGGATATATAATGATTGCATAACATCTTCTGCGCAGGTTGACTTGATCTTGAATCAGCTGGCTGGGCTGAACGACGGTCTGAATCACACCAAGTTCTTCCCAAGCTACTCCTACGTTAACGTCACAAACCTCCTGTAAGTGGACATACAAAAGAATCGGCCCTGATTATTTTACATAATTTCGCCAGTATAGTTCAGACCCGCGATGCAGCAAGAAATAACCGCATTTTTGCAGGTAAAATTAAAATGAAAGATACGCCCATTCATTAAAATTTGTTTCTCCATGAACTAATGAAGTTTGTGTTGCCACAGCCTGAAAAAGAACCCGCAGTGTCCAACTAGTGTCCAGTTTCATATGGAAAAGGAGAACTTGACACTGGAGCTGGACATATGCGGGGTGTTTTATCAGGCTTTGCAGATTTGTCGTAAAAAAACCGTGCAAGCTACACTAAAGCGGTCTTTTCAGGCAAGTTTTACGGTCAAGGAGACATAATGTAGGGGCTTAATCGTCACATTAAGCCCCTAATTAACACAGATTTGCTAATGAACTTTTCAATTAAAGATACTAAACATATATGCTTTCAATAGAACCTTTTTGAGCGTCCTCAAAAAAAACACTAAATCAGTTAAGTTTAGATAAGACTTGGCGGTTGTGTGAAGAACGGTAGTGGGCTATAGTTACCGTTCGCGCAACAGGCGCAAAGCTGGGGTTGCAAAAACGCCGATGATAAAGAAACGAAAAACCGCGTGGGCGCGTTTTTGTACCCGCAGCCTTGCGTCTGTTTCACGACTGGTAACTTTTACGCAATGCCGTGCTTCCCACATGCACCATGTCTTTTTGCTTTTAATTGACTGATATGGGGGTTATCGGTGACGTGTAACCATATATGGTTACCTTTACATATTAAAGAGTTAATTAGCACATTTTAGTTAATTAACCGGCTTATCGTGCCGATCGTCCCCCCATATTATGTACCCACGGACCTATTATTCCTGCAAAGGCAGCATTGGTGTACATTAACGGCTTTAAAATAAAATAATCTGTATGGCCAAACAACAGCAAAAAACAAAAAAACCTGCATTTGTACCGCATGATGAAGCTGTCTGGGCACGCTCATACACAAAAAGAGCGGGGTTAGGCGTTGAAAGACAGACAATCAATTCGTCTGGCGAGCAGCTTTCATTGCAAGCAGGGATGGGCAGTATTTCAAATACAAGTATTTGAAATACGTATTTTAAATACTTTGTGTATTTTTCATTTGTATTTAATTACAAATTGGGTAATGTATTTGACGTGTGTATTTAAATACTAAAACGTGGGTATTTCAAATACAATTGTAATTAAATACAATTTTGTGGATGAAAATACATTTCTCAAATTTATTGTCACTGTTCAGAGCAGTAAGAAAACTACGCTCTGCACCGAATGCAGTGTCCCTCAATCAAGCACAAGCGTTTAGTGACTTTGTGATTACGATGCTAGTCCAGGGCAAGAATAGTGACGAAATCGACGTTCACAGGCAGACTGGCTAAATAAGTGCCTGTGAGAACTTGTGATGCTTTCCAGCCTGATTTCAATCCATATTTTTGTCTGGAACATTCTAAATGCGCGGGTCATCCAGATTTTCGTAACTGATGCGAGTTGCAACAATGAAAAATTCTCTAGCTAGTGCTCCGCGTCTTGGTCGTCTCGGTTATTTGTTGGTTTATACCAAAAAAATAATCGACAAAAAGAGCTGCTTGAAGCTCTTTACTTTTTTCACGTATTACGTCAAGCTTATTACATCTTTTTGTGGTTATATTTTTATTACGTTACTAGAGCCTCGCACACTAACTCCCGAGTGTGCGATGCAAAATTAACACGAGATACTCAGAAACCCGTTGCAGGTTCCCTGAAGTCGCTGACGCAAATTTTGAGGAATGTATTTGGAAAAGTATTTGGAGGAGACCAAATACATTTGGTTGTATTTGTATCTTGTATTTAAATGCTTTTTTGGAAATGTAATTAGATTTGTAATTAAATACATTTTTGACTAAGTATTTTGTATTTGTATTTCGATACACATTTGTATGTATTTTGCCCATCCCTGATTGCAAGCATAGCGCTCACAAGCAATCGCTGGGAATCCTGTTTTTCTCTTGTAACTGAAGGGCGACCATCAAAAAAACATGGTCGCCAATTTATGCCCCTTTAATACCCGGGCATCAAAGTAAACTGCGAGAGAGGGAATGTCTAGTATTAGGTATCACAATAGGGATAAATAAAATCACGAATGTCATGCTCGTGCCACTTTTGTCGCGCAACTAGTACGCGAGAACCAAACATGTGGTCTGATGAAGGGTTCAAGCGAATAGTGAATGGTCATACCTTTTTTATGGTAATCTTTTTGCACGTGATTGGTTCAACTCCAACGTCTTTAGCGTCACGACTGCATGTATGCAGTTTCGAAATAGGATTGGCCATCCTTGAGTAAGCTACTTAATCGGACCCCGCCACTTATTTTTCGGAATGCATAGGAGACTCGGGCATGTTTTCAGCACGTGTGCATGCTGCAGGGAAGCAGTGAATCTATGAACCATGTTTAGTGGATGGGCCGGGGTGGGGGCGGGGGGGGGGGGGGGGGGGGTCTGTTAATGGTTTCGTGTCGCAAGTTCTAACTTATTTCCGTAGCCCTTCCTGCTTTCTAGAGCAGCGGCCACTATCGACCAACACGGAGCCCGCGTTTGCGCACACCGGGTGCGGATATTGCACGTGCGCAGAAACCAGATTCGCAAGAGGCGAAGCATCTGCGCATGCGCGGCCCTGACAGCAGCGCCACCGTAGTGGCGTGACCTCAGAGAGTTGAGTTGGTCCATAGTAACTCACGGCATATGGAATGCAGGGCGTGAATTATATTCTGTTTCCGCGTTCTGCTGCGTGATTGGTCATTCGGCGCTCTCATCGGCCAATGCCTCATTGGCTGCACCACAATAATTAGATGCACGGGTCTCTCCACACCCTGTGTTTCGTAAGCCTGTCAGTGACTCTACAGACGCTTACAAGTGCGGCCCCTGGGCGCCGCCATCTTGCTGTTGGTATGGACAGATCGTCTGCTAGTCAAGCATTGCTGAGGCCGTGGGTACGCCTCAGCAGTGCTTGCCTATCAGGCGATCTGCCCACACCGGCAGCAAGATGGAGACGCCAAGAGGCCGCATTTGCAAACGTCAGAGATCTTCCGAAGGAAGCTAATCTCTCGATGCGATTGTGAGCAAAGCTATGAATGGGCATCGGCTGCAGGGAATGCGTAAATCGATTGGCGCTGTGATTGCCGCAGGCTTCTGAACGTGGACGGCGACTTGGAGGATCTCGAGGGCGCGCTGAAGAGGACCGTGCTGCGGAAGGTGACGGGCAGCGGTTCCTGCTCGGCACTGGTCAAGGTGCTCCCCGGTGCCGAAGACCTGTACTTCTCCCAGGTCACGTGGTCGACGTATGCGAGCATGTTGCGCATCCTCAAGAAGTACTCCTTCAAGTTCCACTCTACCTTCGGTTCCAGTAAGGAACTCCCTCTTGCTTCTGAGACCGATTAAAGCTCCTATACTGTACACAAAAGTAACGCGATTGATTGTCTAATATGCTCGTCCTCCAAAGCGAATTCGCTCAAAAATGGACTCGTGCAGTTAGGGGGAGAGAGGGTGGGAGAAGGTGTATCTTCTATATTTTAGAAGGTGTACTGTGTATAGTAATTGAATGGTATTTCTTGCAAGGAAGGCGGTCGAGTATAGTGACCTGTTAGTAACCGATTCAAATGTGTCCAAAGACACCCAGGTGCCAGCGGTAGGATATTCCACCTAAAAGACAGCCTTCCACTTCGGAGAGATGTTCATGCAAGTAGAGACTTTTATCTAGAATAAAGATCGTACACTCAAAAGTCCGAGCACACGCCAGGGCCCACACATCACGGGAGTCGATGGCATAATAATTTTTTAAATTATTATAATTATATTTAAGACAACTTTGCGAGGTTAAAGTACTAGGCAAATGATACCTACCATTCAAGACTGTGAAACAAACTGATTATAATTACGTAGATTTTGAGGGTACCACAATTGCAGTTCAAATAAATCTAAATAGTGATTGTGAATACTTTTGCGATATCTGCAACGTACATCCGTCTCATCTTTTGCAGGCGAACTTATTCCAGGCCATACTGTTACCTTCTCGTCCAGTCCAGGCAGAATTTTCTCTGGCGACGACTTCTACCTGATTTCTTCTGGACTCGTGAGTGCTGTCCCTACAATTCCGAGAAACACTTATCGGGTCGTTGCGTAAACCTTCTTTGCTACTAAGCATGCAAAGCCATAGGCAAAGCATACATTGCTCGCCAGAAACGTTGCGCACTTTCTGATTGCGCAGTGCAATTTTAACCGTATCTATCCATGGTTACTTTTTCAGCTGGGACGGAAGAAGGGAGACACATTTCGTAACACGACCGCGTCTATACTATAGTATTCAAATTCTAATATAGATTTTATTTCATTTCATTTTTTTTTTATCTCGGGGCCCAAAGGCAATACAGAGAGGAGTGGATACTGTAACATAAACATGAAAGTAAGCATAATAAAAAGGCAAACATACAAAATGTGTAGGAATCATATGTAAGCAAACAAATCCTAAAATCAGCGGTGTTAATAATTAAAAATATGACCGCGGGAAGGCGATTCCAATCATTGGAGGTCTGGGGTAAAAAGGGAGGCATCAAAAGTAGTTGCGCTGCAATATGGGGGAATCCTAACTTTTAGTTGATGATAGGTGCGTGATGATATATGTAAGACGCTTCTGAAAATAGCGTTTGGCGAATAATGAAAACGAAAGGCATTTGATGAGCTGTACACGCGTAAGTAGGGCAAAGTGACACAGCGTCTATTGTTCTTTCGTGTTTGATCTTAGTGCTTTATTAATAATTTCATAAGCTCCGCATTTGCACTTTATTTATTGAGCAGTCTATGACAAAATCTTTCTCAGGCTACCATGGAAACCACCACAGGGAACGGCAACTCTTCACTGTTCCGGTACATAAAACCCACGACTAACCTCGAGTATGTGCGCAACATCGCCGCAAACCGCCTGGCAACGTCGGGTGAGGAGTGGACAGACATCTTCAGCAGATACAACAGCGGAACGTGAGTTTAGTTCATAGGCCAATTCGCGACAACCGATGTTTTAGACAAATCCGCCAATTTCATGCATGCCGTGTGTTGTTCAGGGTGTCTGTGGAAGTATCGTATAGCGAAGTTCAAGAAACCGTAAGATTGACGTGTACTTGTAAAATGAGACTCGGGGAATACCCAAACAAAGGACTTATTACGTTACGTGACGACTGCCCTCTTGTGACAAAAAATTTACCAGACGAAAGTTTGATACAATATTCTAATAATTTACCTAATATATCATAGTTCTTCTAAAGCTTAGATCCGATTGTCGCTTACAATTACCCTTAAAGTTCTCTAAGTTCTTCTTTGAAAACGCGTCATCATTTGTTGTCTATAAAACGAACTGTCGCAGAATGACTAAAAATAATAGATGCAGCATTTTTCAGTCTGTGGGAGCTTGCGATTTTTCACATTATGTGGGCGTTTGTTTACAATGTAGAAGGTATTTCCTCGTTCAGGTACAACAACCAGTGGATGGTCGTTGACTACAAGAAGTTCACTCCAGGCCAGCCTCTGCCGGACGGGCTTCTCTGGGTCCTGGAGCAGCTTCCGTGAGTTGGCAGTCTCTATGCACATCAAACGAATGCGGGAATTGAATGATCAAACGTTATTTTGCGCTACGTATTTAGAGAACAATAGAAATCCGGCCGTGGCTTATTGAGACCCAAAAGTATGCAAATCGAGTGCCCGATTTAAATATAAAATATCTTAGCTTTGCACAAAAGCGCGGCTCCGACGCCACACCGCATAGATGGCGCTGCTGTTGGCGCCGGCGCGCATCCACCCAGACGCTTCCCTAATTTTTTTCGCGAATCAAGTTTTTGCGCAAGCGCAGTGCGGGCAAACTCGGGCTTGCTCGTAAACAAAGTGCTCGTTTGAAGCTTATGTTGAAAGGGTTACGAAAACGAAACAATAAGCGAATATTTCAAAAGTATGTCATTTTAAAATTTTCGCATGCATTTTCTTGTTCACCGAGAAGCAGGGTGTGGAACTGGAACCGAAATGTTTTCGTTCCGGTTTTCGTTTCGCTTCAGGGAAAACGATTCAAATGCGGTTTAGCTCCGGGGTGAAGAAATATAGCGGTTCATGCCTGTTCGTATTCGCATGTTATTAAAAGGAACAAATAAAGTGAAAAATATACTATTTTTGCATTAAAATGTTTGATACTAAAAGGTCGGAGCTGAAAACTGTTCATAAATTGCGCGGAAGAAAAACAATGAGCCTCTTATGGGCTCACCTTTTAGCCGATAAAATAAATGTTAGATAAAAACTTGTTCCTCAGCAGGGTCGCAGGAATTCCAGTGTCTACTTGTGCCAAGCCATGAAGGTCTCAATCATACGCTGCCTCCTCTCCTGTAAGGGCGTCTTAGCTTTAACTACGGTTTATTTCGTCAATGTTAGCATTCTAGACGAGGCATCTACATCAGCTCTAATGTAAGGTGACAATCGTAACACCGCCATATGTCTCTAGATATGTTTGGGTGCATAAATGCTTGTCACAACAAAAGTTCTCAAAGACACAGTTTTTCGTGTTTTTCTTTTTTGTTACTCAGTTGAGTTTCCAAGGCTCAAGAACGTAACCCGAAAACACAAAAATTAAGATATATACACATTGCACTGCTTTTTACAATGTACCTTTCAGATGCGCAATTTTTCCCTTTGAACCGAAAACAGTGAAGATTATTTTTTTCAATTTCGCTTAAAGACGAAAAAAAAACAAAAAAAAACGTTTTGATGCGATTTTGGTTAGCAGAAAAATATAAGTTATCTTTTTATTTTTATTTTTCGGTTCCGATTCGGTTGATACCCTGCTGACAAGTCAATATTACTTCTTAGGCAGAGATATTGGCCTTCGCACGTCAACCGGGTTGCAAAATTCTTCAGGCTATTCCCCATGCAAATGGAGCATAGCCATGTACACTACTTCACAACTCAGGATGGTAACGCTAACGCAAAAGTTAATGAATCGTGAATCTAGTCCGATCGTGAAACTCAGTTATCTGTCTGCTTAATTAAGATTGACTGGTGTTGCCGTAGTGTCCAATTTAACTGTGACCCTTTTATGAGACAATGATGTTACAATGCGCAGGGGCTACATTTACAAGGAAGATCTGACAAAGGTGCTGAGGAGGCAGACCTACTGGCCAAGTTATAACGTCCCGTAAGCATATACCACCGCTGGAGCTTGCCGAAGAGTAACTGAGCTGCTTGCCCAGCCAGGAATTATTTTTCGGGTGTGGGAGAGTTGGTTGTGAACTTTGAAGATTAAGGGGGGAGGGGGGAGGTGGGAGAGGGCTTGACCTTGAAATTTTCTTTTGCCTATACGTCACTGACTGGTTGTATCAATAATGAGTTTATGACCTCTTGAAGGAAAGGTCCGTCAAATGTTTCGGTAGTCACATATTTTATCAAAGCTACACTCTTTTCTGAGCACGTTTATGAAGTATAATCCTCCAAATGTATGGTTTGTTCCTTGACCCTATCAAATTTCGCTCCTAATTTAACACAGGTACTCTGAGGTTGTCTTCAACATGAGCGGAGGACAATCGGGCGTGGAGAAATTCGGCGACTGGTTTACGTACGACAAGACTCCGAGGGCGCTCATCTTCAAGAGGGACAACGGCAAGGTCGTCGACATGCAGTCCATGATCAAGCTGATGAGGTACCACTGCTTAGGTCACGGCGCGGTCCCAGACCAGCAAGTGGACAGGCGTAAAAAAAAAAAAGCATGTGAGAAACGAATGTTTTTCACACGTTTTTGTATCACATGTCTCACACAAGAAAAAGGTAGACACACTAATTACATGTACACCCGTGAGCGATATGAAGGTGAACAGCCCTCTTCTTGTTTTTGACGCTCCTGCAAGTTTTGGAACAAGCTCTGTTCCAGAAGAGGGCTAGAACGCAAAGTTTAGACCCCCCCGCCACGTACCATTTGAGACGTTGAGAGGTAATATAGCTTTAGGAAGCCGTAAAACAGGCAAGGAACCAGGTAAGGTGTTCACCTTCATACTGCCGGCGGGTGTACATAATCTGTTACCATTAGCTCGCCTTGTGGAAGATTCTGCAGTTACCGTGCAAACAAAACTAAAACTAAAAGTTTCTGTTGTCTTAGTTCTTAAATGAGCGCAATAACGGCGATCACCGGATAAGTGTTATCACTCTGCGTTACAGTATGGACCTAAAAATATAATAAACCAGCTCTGGATACGCTCAGTGCTTCGGCTCTACATGGCGAGAAAAGTAGTTTAGAAGCTGTTAGAAAACAGAGCTGCACTGGCGATACACCTGCAGTGCTTAGGAGATATATGACCCTTGGCCTTTTTTGTCCGGCCAGGTACAACGACTACACGAGGGACCCGTTGTCCGCCTGCAATTGCACGCCGCCGTACAGCGCCGAGAACGCCATTTCGGCGAGGAGCGACCTGAACCCTGCCGACGGAGTGTACCCGTTCGGTGCCTTGGGTCACCGATCCCACGGATCCACCGACATGAAGGTTGGTCTCGATCGTCCGGCTTAGCTCCTTGTCACTATCGCGGCACTGCGCTCATGATTGCATTTTTTAAAAGCGATAGTTTTATAAATGGAAACCTCCACGAACCTTCCTTGCTCGTGTCGGTCTGACAGCACGACGTAACAGTGTAATGTGACGTGACACGGTGTCCTTGACGTCAAAATGGCACGTGACGTGATGTTATCACGGTTGTATCACATCACGTTGTCACGTGACGCTCACGACGTCAGTGTTCCATGATGGCACGGTGTCACGTATACCGTTCCGCGTGTGCCACCATTAAACACCCCATCAGGCGCTTGCACTTTCATTGCATTGCACGGAATATTTAAGAGAGGTATTTCTTTAAAGAGAGTAGGTTGGAGGGTGGATGTATTGAATATAACAAAGGGTGGCGTATCAAGGTTTTGAAAGAGAGTAAACACGCCCAATGCCACCACATGGTGTCACCTCCATTGGCAGGGATGACGGCGATTCTGCACACTACCTGGTTGGAATGTGCACCGCCTGTCGCTGCCGTGTTGGTATTAAAACAATTTGCGAGAGAATGCTCCTTTTTTTTTGTTCGTTGTAGTAACTGGTTGTACTGTGCGTTCTGCACACTAACTGGTTGTAATGTGCACCGCCTGTCTGTACTGTGTTGGTATTAAAACAATTTGCGAGAGAATCCTCCAGTTTTTCTTTTTGTTCGTTGTGCGAAAGAGTGTTTTCGGGCTCCGGCTATTTTCTTTGACCGGTGCGATCACGCTACCTTTGTTAGCTCTGCTCTACAGAATCTCAGACAGGTCGCATGAGTCCACAGCCATCTGCCTGGGCACTTTAAGACCGAGTGATCACTGATAAGTAGGATTCCGTGTTGCCTATTTCTGGTGAAATTCGGAGGGTTTTTTTCGGAGTTAATTTTCCGTCGAGAGATCAAGGATTTACCGGAGTGCATTTTTTTTCTTTTTTTGCAAAATTTCAAATTTTATGAAATTCGGGGCTCGATTAATTTTACTCAGTTTCATATTTTTCAAAATTCAGAAAAAAAAAAGCAAGGTCCGGACATAAACATAACCTAAATTCATCAGAACGCAAGTGAATTGACCAATATTTCTGTAGACGCATTGGCATCCGCGCTTTTGCCATTAGCAAAAGTAACTATTCCACGACAAATATTGCAAAGAAGTGATGCTTCAATACAGATCGATACTTGAAAAAACTAAGTTCCTATACATAGTCGCTGGGAAACATGGAAGCTTCACATGCCCTCCTTATCCATTTAAATATATGGGTTCATAGCGATCACTGTTATAAAAACACTACCCCATCCTTCCTCTAAGAAGCACACACATTGTACCCAGATGTACCATGACTCGTTGCGCCGAACGAACCTTGGCCAGCGAAAAGATAAACCTCCATTTGTCACTAGTCCGCTCTCCGCAGGAGCACTACTCCTGTGTTCTTATGGAATTTTTAATAAAATGCAGTCTTTTTTACTTTTTAATGTTATCACCGTGACCTTGAAACCCGAAGTTTTCCGGATAAATCTGAATCGACCAACATTTTACGTGTGTTTTTCGCATTTTTTTTCCGGATTTATCCGAAAACACAACACTCTTACTAATAAGCGATAGAAAAAAAGTTGTTGACGTGGGCCCCGATGTCTTCCTCGCTCTCCAGCTGACCAACAGCAGCTTGTTCGCGGACCTGATGTTCACCGCCGTCGGAGGCCCCACCTACGACCCGCTTCCACCTTTCCGGTGGAGCACGTCGGGTCTCAAGGACCGCCACGACGGGCAGCCCGACCTGTGGCAGTTCACGCCCTTCACCCACAAGTGGGGCTCGGGAAAGTAGGCCTCGGGGACATCGTCATAGGTCACGTGACGCGGAAAAAGCAGATTCGCAAGAAGAAACTAAGCGAAAAATGAAGATGGTGATTTTTGTTTAATAAATTGTGTTGTTTGTTTGTTTCGACGGCGGGAAGGCTGGTTAATACACTTGTGACTGCTTACGGATGCTGAATCGAAACAATTTTTTTACTTTTTTCTTCTTTGCTTCCCTCCTCAACTTGTAAACCACGCAGCGTTATCAAACAGTTGAAGAGGGGGGAAAGGAAAAACTCTCTTCTTGCTCGGACCCCTCGTTCGTGTACCCGGAGGTCGCCATTCTCCCCCTAGATGATTAGCCCTTCGCTCAAAATTCGGACAAAAATTGCTTCCCCCGAAACATGCAGTGCTGTGGAAGCTATGTGCTTGCTGGGCCAGCCATATTTGGTATCTTTTGCCACGTGATCGCGGTTCCTCGCGCATAGCCTTCCGCAGAGAATCGGGTCAGTTGATGATTGGGAGTTTGCTGATTGGTCTGACAAGCACGTAGGTCCCGTCGCACTGTCAGCTTGCTTGCTTTGGGGGCCGGGTGACGTGCTTTGAATACTTCGGATGTGTCACAGTGAGAAGGCAGAGATCTCTAGAAGAAAAAAAATGGAACGAAATAGTCGGCTACGTTTGCACATTTTCGAACCAAAAAGCACGCTTTTGACTTTCTACTTTTATTTCTCCTCACTAAACGATACGCTATTAGTAAAATCCCAGACTATAGTAATTTGTCCTAGCATGAAATTCCTTTTACGGCCCTTTTAAGATATACCTGTCACGTTTAGAAAATAAGTTAAACATGATCAACTCAATCTGCCAATGAAAATCGCACGCTTGTATTTTGAACGGATGGCCATAGTTTTCGTTCCAAAGGACCGATTCCAGCGAACACTCGAAGATCAGCCATCAAAGAGTGCGGTGCATCACGGGAGCTGGACCAATTGACGTCACAGACGTGACGTCACTTGGTACAGCACGGGTAAAGCTGCTTGGAGGCCGGAGTATCCGCGCTGCCACTTGGCGTCGTCCACGCGTCACAACCGGGTCGTTTTCGGTTGGTCCTCCCCGCTCCCCGCAAGAGTAGTCCGGGAGAAAAGGGGAAATCCGGTTAGACAGGGCTGGCGCGCTATCAGCTTGCCGCCGCACCTCCGTGGGTTTGGCGCTGCTTTATAAGGCCGACGACCAAACTCGAGATTCTGCAAGGCAGAAGATCCTCCTCAGCATCGGTGAGGAGGAAACAAGCAACGGTGGACAGGGTAGAAGGGAGAGAAGAGGAAGCGAGGGAAAAGTGGAAAGCGGGAACTGGTCGTCGGTCTTTAAAGGGAAGCTGCGGAGCTTCTTGAAAAAAATGAGTTAGAAGTGAATTCTAGTGTATTTTTACCTCGTGAATCCGAATACCAAAACCATTTTCCGCGCAAGTATTGTTAAACGCGAGAAAAACGCAAAAGACAGTCGCTGTACGTGACGTCATCGACGGATCTTTTGGCTTGCTAAGGGTAGGGAGGCGGGGCTTCAGCCCTATTTTCAAATTGCTCTTATGGCTCTCCGGCGCATCGCATTGAAATATAATTGTGATATCTGTTATTCTAAAGGCCAGATGAACGCAATTCAAACGTTTTTTCTCAAATGTAGAAGGGCCCCATCTTCCCTTTAAGTTCAGAGCGACGTAACGACATTCAATTTATTCCTTTTAAATGATGTTTTGGTTTTTTGGTTGAGCAAAAAATTGGTGCCTCCGTGGTGTGGCCAGAACGGGGCTGACATTCAGGCAATTAAACATGCTCCACAACTTCGTCGCAGTATCCCTTTAAAAATTCTTGATATTATTTACGACGAGAAAACACACTGGCGCCATATATCGGGCAACCGCGGAACACCGTTTATTTTAAATTTTGTTCGCGGCTCGTTCTATTTTTTTTTTTGGCTCGAAAAACGTTTGTCGATGTTATCAACGACAATTTCTCATAGATGGTACGTACACTTGATCTTTCAAATACTGCAGAAAGCTTTGCTCTAGTGAAATGCAGTTCCAGGGTCACCTCATAGATGACGCCACAATGCCAGTGAGTTTTCTCGCCGCAAGAGATTACAAGAACTCGGTTGTAAGCAAACGGAAGTGTCTGAACGGGCCTTAATTTACTCACCCCCGGTGGGCGTCTAGAGTGCATAATAAAAATAAACAGCAAAAAAAAAAAAAAATCTCGGACAGCGATAAAGAAACAGACACGATAGCACAGTTTTGTCCTCTTATACTTCAAACATCATACATTATTGCACTTAAAAAAGAACAGAATACGACAGGCGTGTGTGTTTCTTTATGTTGGTAAAAAAACTTGTTGGGCTAGTTGGTATTGACTGTATTGAACCATGATTAAAAACGGTAAAAAGACGTACACACGATAGAAGCGCCCGTGTTTGTCTTTTATCTTGTGTACGTTTGTTTGTTTGTTTGTTTGTTTGTTTATTTATTTTTGACACAATTGTCAGGGAGGTTGGGACAAAAGGCGAAAACGAATCACCTGACTAGGTCCCAACCATTGTTACAGCACTCAGCAGCAGGGCACAGGAAATGAATCAAAAACAGCATAAATCAAAAATAAAACAATATCTGAGAAGATAAAAATATGAGACACAAAAAATGTACTATCTATTTTGATGTGAACTATACTAGGAATACACACTAGGCACATTGAAGTATGTCGTAAGGTATTTTTTGAAAAGAAACATGGACGCTATTGTCTGGGCTAATTCGAATACACAATAATTTCTGTTAAGAAGATCGGTTATCTTGTAGGATATTTTTTGTGTACCGTAATTAGTTCTTATTTTAGGTTTTGAAAACTGCTGGTGTCTCAAATTGTAATTTTTTTTTGCTTGGATAAATATGTTTCGTAAAATATTGCGGGATTCGTGTTTATTTCAGTATGAACTGAAATTGCGACCTTTAGGCAAAAAAGATTGTCTAATGTTAATATTCCATGTTTAATAAAGCTAGGGGAAGTAGATTCAGTCCAAGGTAAATTATCAATTGACCTAACTGCGCGTTTTTGCAATGTAAATAATTGCTTAATATTACTTGCTGTAGTCGTCCCCCAGACCAATAAACAGTAATGCAGCCTCGAGTGAATCAGAGATATATACAGTTGTTTTTTTAACCAGGCTGGAAGAAGGTATTTTAACTTACAAATTAAACCAATTGATCTGGAAATATCCCTTCGGAGTTCGTTCACTTGACAGTCCAGTATAGATTTTCGTGAAAACGAACACCAAAAAATTTAAAGGATTCCACGCGTTCAATATTCGAGTTTTGAAAAGATATACTAATTTCGCTAGTTATGGGCTTATTTTTTGCTCTAAAAATAATGTACTTAGTCTTTGCCGTATTCAGCTCTAACTGGTTTGAGCCTAACCATAAATGAAGTTGCTCCAGCCAATTATTTGTTTTTCTTTCTGCGCTATCCAAACAGCTACCAGTAAAGAATACATTCGTATCATCTGGATATAAAATTATGTTAGGTGTTTGTTGGATGTTTACTATATCATTGATGTAAAGAAGGAAAAGTAATGGCCCGAGAATTGACCCCTGCGGCACACCGTATGGAATTTTCGCTAAAGGAGAGCGCATATCATTGAGGACGGTATATTGAAAACGTGAGGTCAAGTAACTGCTTATCAAGTTTAGCACACTGCCTCTTATTCCATATATATACAGCGGTAGCTTTCGGAGTAGGATGTCGTGTTTTATAGAATCAAAGGCCTTCCTGAAATCTAAGAAAACACCCAGAGTATAGCGCTGATTTTCAATATTGTCTATGATTTTGTTTTTGATATTTAACAGGGCCATTTCAGTTGATTTACTTTTTTGGAAACCATACTGGTTGTTTGTAATAATATTATGATTATTACAGAAATCACTTAAACGTTTGTAAATAACGCGTTCCACTACTTTAGAAAAGACCGGAAGTACTGATATTGGTCTATAGTTATTCATATTATTCTGGGGACCACCTTTATGGATCACACAGACTTTCGCTATTTTCATTTTTTCTGGGAAGATACCGGTAATTAAAATAAGGTTGCACATATGCGAAAGCGGAGTAGATATGAAAGAGGAAACTGCTTTGATTGGCTTAGAACGTAGCCCATCTTCTACACAGGCACCGCTATTCCCTAAAGATTTAATGATAGTAGTTATTTCTAGTTCAGTGGTAGGTGCCAGAAATACTGAGTTATGTAAAGGGTATCCAACATACGACTCACATGTAGGCGTTCTCGCTGAGGGCATAGTAGAAGAACCGGATTCTAGAAAGTGGGAATTAAATTTATCTACAAGAGACTGACCCGAGTAAGTATAACCCGCTCGATTGTAAGTTCCTTCGGAGCGTGTGCACGAGGCCTAGAAGCAAGTTCATTTACGGCTTGCCATACTTTCCGCGGATTGTTATATATTGCATTAAACTTATTTTTGTAGTATTGAGCTTTAGCTTTCTTGATATCAGCGTTGAGGTTGTTCCTCACTTTCCTAAATTCCTGTAATATTGAGATATCTCTTGTCTTGATGAACTTATCATATAATTTATTGCGCTCTTATATACGCTTATATAACGGACTTGAGATCCAAGGTTTTTTTTACTTTTTATATTTTTTTAAACTCTTGCCATGGAAATGACTCCTCATAACACTTTTGTAGGAGGTCCAAAAATAAACCATATGATTTATTTGGTTCCGTTTCAGTTACTACCGACTCCCAGTTTATATTCGATACCCTAGAATAAAACAGCTCAATTGAACTAATATCAATTCTTCTAAATGTCTCAGTCGCATTATTAGAGCTCAGTTTTAAATTTACTGGACCGACAATAAAACTAAATATCGGGAAATGGTCACTTAAATCACAAGAAAAGACACCAGCAGCCTCGGTATGACAATTTGTAATACAGAGATCAATTAGCGTTTCTGTTTCCACCGTGATTCTAGTCGGCAAGTTTATTACATTATCAGATCCGTAGGACTGAACAATATCAAGTAGTTCAAGGGATCCACTCACGGGCGAGGTCATATCAATATTAAAGTCACCTATTAAGATTATAGAAAGGT